GCAGCGGTAGACCTCACGCTATAGGCGACATATGGCGGTAGACCTCACGCTATAGTAGCACCAAACAATCAATATTCCTAAAATTAGTCTCATATAATAGTATGTATGTTTCTGATGACAGCATGTGTAATCTACCCGTACATCTAAACCCACAGATGTCAATAATCTGATCAGGTGACCAAATGAGAATGTTATTAAACAACCTTTTTTATTTTTTAAAAACTGGAGTTCAAACACTCCTCACATTTTATCCAACATCAGTATTTCACTTATTTTTTACCTTTAAGCCTAGTTCTTGCAAAGAAAATTATTACTCCATAGTTTTTTGTTAGCAGCATGTTTCTTGTAGTTTAATGTAAAGCATAGTACCATCTAAAAATAAATATCCCAAAATGCACATAAAGAGAACATCTGCCCATCCCACCCCCTCAAACAAATGTGAATGAGCATGAATCAACTTTCTTATAAGAATGTATTTATCTCTTAGATTAAGGGTTGCATTAAAAATTCCAGCTTAAGCAAAAAAAAAAAGAAAGATTAACAGAAATAATTAATTTTATGTGAGGTGGTTCAGTCAGATGCTGTGATGAAAAACAGTACCTAACATACAATAATTACTTTGTACTTTTCTTTCCATGAAAAATACACACTTTGATAAAATAATCAATAAAACTATTTAGTAACACTTCATTTGTATCACTAAAACTTGCTGAATGAAGCCTATAAAAAAAAACGGTTAATAGTATCTATTTAATCCAACCTACTATTATCGCATGACTGGCAATACCAATACTTGGGTAGTTAACAACAAAATGAGACAATAATTTTTTCCTAATTTGGTTAATTGTAATGCAGAAAGAATATCACTTCTTTCATGGGCATGAGAACAAAAGGAAAATCTCAATCCTGAAACAAGATGGGGTTTGGGGGACCATAGACCTCCAACGGAGTCAAGGGGCAGCACCTCTTATGGTGATTCAGGAGGAAATGCCCCCATAAAAAAAATAAATAAAAGATTTTCAAGAAAGTAAAATACCATGTTTTCCTGGTCATAATTTTCTAAAAACCTACTAAGTATCTAGAAAAAAATATATATTAAAACAAGTTATGACTTCAGTCTTTTCAGTTCAGACTCAACTAGGAAGAGAGATTGAAAATGTTATTTAGGTATAGTTCTGATGTAAAAGTTAAAGATATGATAAACATATGCTCCAGGTGGCAATACTTGTAGTGATTTCTTAGAATATATTTTAAATATTGCTATATATGTAAATCCAACACAATCTGAAACAGCTTATCTGCATAAGTCAAAGAATTAATAAATTTATTAATGATAATTTAAAGTTTTCTATTAATCCAACTCTCAATAAATTGTCAGATATTTTAAGAACTTATGAAGAATGAAATGAATTGGCAAATTTCTGTTTCACTGTCCCATCTTGGTTTTCTTAGCTACCTTATCTGCTCTCTCTCTCTCATGCAGTGTGTTTGGTGAGCACATGTTTTCATTTTATTTCAAGCCTTTTTCTTCTTTCTATCTTTTGTTTTCCATAACAACTTTCCTTATCTTTACTCCAGTTTGAGAGTCCCAGGCAAATAGGGTCATATATGTGGTCTTTTCTTTCAAAATACTTAACAGGCCCATCTTTTATGATGGTGAATTGAAGACAAGGATTCAATTCCCAGCTGACTAGATTTGTCATCCAATATCTCCTCCATTACAATGAAGCAATCCCCAATTATTTGGCCACAAAAGCAAGTCATAGCAGTAAGAGTTATCTTCCTTACATTTGGGTGAGACTAGATTCCAATCTACCATTTGTCCACTTTGACTAATTCAATATTGGTATCTGTACCAGTTTCTTCCGAAATATCTGGAAGCAAGAGGTCATTATTATAGACAAGACTCTTTCTCATATTCTGATTCTTCATCTTCTGACAGCACAATGCATATTAAAGAAGGGAGTATATTTAACAATCTTAGAATTACTGCATGATATTTGGCTGATGGGTCAAGGACAGAAATAGATGACAGGAGTTCATATGTAACAGGCATTTTCTGTTGAAGCATCTTACTACACTTGATACAGCCCTGTTTAACAGCCAATATGATCACCTGTACCAAATGGCCTTTGCTGTTTGATCTCTCAATCAAATGCTTAGCCTTCTTTCCCATCAACTCCTTGTTCAGCAGAAGTAATAAGCCATCAGCTAGGTTAAATTTTACAAATACAGCTGCTGTCTTTGGCAGCTCTTCCAGTTTCATAAAACAACCAGGAAATCCAATAAGATGTACCTGTTCATCATGCAGAACATGAATCACTGGTTCCTTGGTCTGAAACAAGAGAAAATACTAGGTGCCATAATGAAATTTGTAGTTGCCATGGTGACCTGGCATTTGTTGAAACCTGGTTTAACGGTATGCACATTTTTAAGTGAGTACCAGATCTGAAGGAAATACTTGAACTGATCTATGAAATACTAAAAATACACCATGCCTGAATTGTTCACCCCACATAGATTCTTTTCAGTATGCAACCTGGCTGTTGACACCACCATTTTTATGGATTGTTATATATTGTTCTACTTTGCCTGCATCATGGACAAAAAGAAAGCAGATAGATATAGGCACATATATCTAAGAAATCATAAATAGAAAGGAGGTATCAACATTTAGGAAAAGCTGCAAACCCTGAACTTCAGAAAAAAACAGTTCATAAAAGATAGCAAAGAACACAAAGAAAAGATTGTGACAAACCTTTCTTTCAACAAAAATGTTGTTGTGTGCAGACACTGCAGCGTCACAACACTTTAAGGAACATGCCAACCCATTTTATTTATGCAAAGGGTTGTGCTAAATAGAACTCGAATCTAGAATAGTTATGGACTTCTTGGAAGTCTGTAACTATTTTCACATTCTTTGAGTCCTAAATCAAACTTTTTCTGGGATTTTAATGACAGATTCAGAACTTCATGTTTTTCAAGAATGAAGCATTGTGGTTGCACAATACATTACTAATTTTTGTGCCATTTTGTTTTTCTTCTTTCTCTCAATTACACCAATCAGTGCACATGTTTATACTCAGACAGGACCAAAGGCAGTTAGTTCAGGCAATATTATCAAGTGGTTGTTGACATAATGTGATTGCTATCAGGCAGTCTTGCTGTGAAAGTAAATAAATATACACTGGTGCCTTGATTGTCTGTGTTGGTTAGTCCACTGTTTAATATAAATAAATTTTTCATTATACTTAAATCACATCATGATGAAAAATTATAAAAGTTGTTACAATCATAAAAGCCAAGTGTTGGTCAGTCACACTTGATTTCTCCAAATTTCGTGAGTTACGAGTCCAATTCCACTTTTTCTTAATAATACTAATTTTATTGCCCATTCATATTTTAGTTGAATTTAATTGCTAACATAGGCATTAATAGCTCCAAAATTTTGGCACTTTTTCTGCAATAGACATGGAAGTGCATTAACACCCTATAAACGCCTGTAAGAAAATAAATAAAAAATTCACACAAATTTCTGCTTAGGAATTATAATGAAAAAGCTTTGTTAAAACAAGCACAAACACAACCTGATCATGCATCTGTGGTTAAAGGATGCTTGCCATGCAGTATAGAACAGCAGACAAGAACTGTAGTTGTGTGGAATCTTTAAGAAATCTTAATGTGTATTTTGTGTGTTTTTGTATACAATGTTTTTAATCACTAATCAAATAAATTCAACCAAGCTACAAATATTTTGTATTCCTATCTTAACAGCTAAAAATAAAAGAAGTAAGGCTAGGTTTGGACTGGCTGACTTACAATTTAAATACACGCCAGATCCTGCATGCAAAGAACCAGGATATTATGCAACATCTGAACTTTGCAACCAAAATTAATTACTAAGCAACAATGTCCCCAAAACATGTAAATTATTGTCTAGAATTGTAATGGCACAATTATTTTGAGAAAATTTGAGGAAAAGAAAAAACTGCAGATAATCAAAGCACTAGTGTATCCTCCATTTCCCAGTAAAAACAGTAGTGAAGTTAGGTTAGGCATACCTGACACCTAAGTTTTAGAGCTGACTCGTAGATCTGAAAATATTTGTCGAGGCCTGCATTAAACAGCACCTCTAGGAAATGGATGAATACTGATGTAAAAGCCTTTGCTGCATTATGTACATGATGCACTGAGTCTCCATCTATGTCCAGTAGATGATTTGCCTTTTCACACAATCTGGTGTCCAATCTATTTCTTTCTTCTCACGGTATAATAAGAATAAAGCAAACTGACATTAAGTTGTGCAACGGCAACTGCCATTTCCTGGAGATGTCTTCAATTTTCTCAAAAAGTATACTGTAAGTTGACTCGGATAATCTTTGAAGAGTTCAGGTGTTGAATAAAAATTTCCTGCTTTTCAGAAGAGAAATAACTCGAAAGAATATTAACTACTTTTTAAGCTACTTGACCTACTCTCATCAATGTTCAAACTAAAATGATTCTGTCCGAGATGCTCATTCAATTTCATGTTAAAGAAATTACCCAAACAAAATTTCACTTTATAGGATACTGTCGTTCTGTCCACAGGAATTTGATACAAAACTTTAAGGTCTTTGGACATATCTTGGCCTAATTTGATCAAGTCTGGTACAACAAAAAAGCTCAGATCATGATCAACAACAAACCCCGAAAGCATGGCCTCCATATTAGTCATTTTCTCAACTTTTGGAATAACTGGTGATACAACTTCTTTCTCTACTGAGACTGAACCACTTGTCATGTGAAATAGAAAAAAAGGTATGGGATGTCATGAGGAAAAAAGACTGCTATATTTAGGAATATAGCATGATCACTGCATCTGCATTAGAATCTATTTAATCATGCACTTCTACTGTCTTAATTTTAAACTTTTTGTTGATACTTCACTATACTTCATAACATTAAAATATAATGTTTAAATATATATAAAATTTTTTAGGTCTGTATTGATAAGCATTAGCATTAGAATATGTAGTAAATAATATAAAAGCCATTCGTTTTTATTAAATCTAAGCTTGCCTTTCCAGAAGACTGGCGTCTTATATCTAACTTGCATGTAGATCCAAAAACAATGCATGTAACAAAAGCTCACTGAACATTAGGCACATGAGTGGCTCATACTTGCTTTCTGTGAAAACAAGGCTTAATGATCCTGAATAAATTTCATTTATGATCTCACTGATCAAAGCAAGATGGGTGATACCAGAGAAACCATCTTGCTGACTGACTGCATTATAAATTACACAGTTTTGGTTAATGAGAAAGAGATAAACAGAATCTCTTAACACAATGAGTGCTGTAATGTGGTGCCAAATACTCTATGAACATTTCCACTTAACTCAGTTTTATATAAATGTCACAGATGAAAATGTTAGGTTTTATGACCTCATTGAGGTACCTTATACTATGTGACCAACTGGTGGGCAGTAAATTAAAAATCCACTCTGAGCATGCCGAGTGACCCACTATTGGGATGCACTCTAACCCATCAGGTACTGTGACCCTCCAGTGGGTCATGTGGTGCATCACTAATAAGATGTTGTGACCCTCTGGTGGGTCACACAGCAGCCAACGTGTTAAGATATTTCATTAACTGATGAAGCTAGGTTTGATGATGCAAATACTGGTCATTAACAAAATTAAATACTGCTAGTATGAAAAGGAGACCTATTTTACTTGTTATCATAACTTGCATTACTGATAGAACATGTTAAATTTGTTTGTAAATGATATAAATAATAATTTGAATGACAAAATTTAAAAGAAAGTGGCAATTTGTTCAGAGTTTAGTTATTCACATTTCAGTTCGGTATCAAGTGATTTTTATGTAGATCACTAGATGCCTGTGGCCTGAAATCCAACTCAGCTTGCTCAGTTGGTAAAGCATGAGGTTTTTTAATCTCTAATGTAATTTAAATTGTGAAATGAGGTTAATCTAAACCTCTTTGACTAATTTTGCTCACATATTCTAGTTTTTAAAGATGGGGATGTATTTTTTCCTTTCATGCATGAACTTCACACAGCAGTCACCAAGGCCTAAACTTAAAGAAAACCTTGTTTTCTGTGAAACTCAATTTGTCGCCAATTTTTAGTAAAACTTGAATCTGTTACGCAAATAACCGAACTCTTAATCTTATTTGGTACCTGGCTGACAAGGGAATAGCCTCGGCCAATGTAAATTGTATTATTAGTTACTGCAGTGTCTTTACCACGTCAATAAACATCCCATTATCGGTGCTAATAGTAAAACTACCTTTTACTACCTTGAATGCTTTGTACAGTGATTACAGTTACATATGCAATAATTGATTAATTCCGATTGCTAGCCGATCACTAACTAACTTAATCAATAACAGTAACATGCCCAGACATCAATCTTAGGCTTAACACTCACATTAATACTTTAGGTTTTCTATAAACTATATAGATACGTCAATAATCTACTATACGAAATCTAACTCCTGCGAGAATATGCCTTACCTTAAACTTTTTCGTTGATACTTTGGTATACTTTATAATGTCAATAAACGTAGGTCTAACACGTTAACTAACAACATCTAACACTAACAGTAAACACAGCGTTTACTGTTATATTAAACTCACAATGAAACTGGAAGTTTTCACCCATTTAACATAATCACCCACTGGATTATATATTTATAATACTTAATAGTTTAATTTCCTATCTATATACATAGAATTTGACTAAAACGAACATTATTTTTAGGTAAAACTTTAAATGCATTCAACAAACATTAATTTCATAAAATAAATATACGAAACTAAAATATTTAAAAGACGACTCGGTGTGTGTATTTTCACATTCAAGTATAAAAACATTGATAATACGGATAGGTAGGAAAGATGTTGGGTTAAAACTTAAAATGTATTCTTGTTTGCGAACATTAAATGAAATGATAACCATGGAACAAAAATACTTATGTAGAGCCAAAATCTAAGATAACTATAGTAAACAACGCAGATTAGAGTATAATATACCGTAAGTGTCATGTAAAGATGGAGTTTAAAATTTTAACCGTATATTAGGTTAAGCCTAACAATGTGTTACTGTTATTACTATTATTAGTGTTACTGTTAGTAAGTGAGTAATATTATTAACAGAGGAATCTTTACATATTGCAAATCATGACAAGTTAAGTCAAGCTTTCAATTAACACAATAAGTTGAATAACATTAACAGTGTTACACTTAAGTGTTACTTCAAGTCAACATCTACTGTTATTGTTAATGACAGTGTCAGTACCTGTTATGGTGTAAAGCAAATTATTGTGAAGGTATTATGTCATCTGCCTAAAGTTCCAATTTATCATTTTTTATTGACATGCTGTTGACTGGATTTGGGCAGACAAACACCTATATCATGAGTATATGTATATTTATATATTGGTTTATGAATTATGTAATACACACCACACAGTTTAGTGTATGGCTTTTTTTTAATTCAATGACTAAAGATTATTTGTTAATAATTTTAAAGTTTTGTTTGTGTGTTTTCAAATAGAAAATACTTCTGTATACTAAAATGCAGAACAATGTAGAGCATGAAGAGAGCTATCATTTGATATATCACTGACCCTTATTGGTCAAGCAACAACTTGCTAAATCCTGTTTTTTGTTCTAACATTCACCCATTTGTCTCCATAAAATGATGAAGGAAAGTTTAGTGATCATATTGTAGCCAGTTTACAACTAATGGGAGTACAGTTGCTTTGAAATACAAGTCAGCATGTAATAGTACTGTAGACGTGTTTAATTGGTTGCTTGATGTACAATAAATTTAGTTTTATTTATGGGAGATTTATATATTTGCAACTGCAATTTTGCATTCACACTCTTCTCGCTGGGAAGATGGTCAGGTGGCATGAAGGGTCAATTTACAGGTATAATTATTAATTGTTTTCATTATTTATTAATTACATAATTCAAATTGCAGTGTAAATCTTCTCATTTTTGACTGTGGAATTCAATGATGTGTAAATTTCTTTATTTTCACTGTTTAAAAGTCAACAAAAACCCCTACTTTAATTAACTTGTATTAAAATTGCTTGTTGTAGGGGAAGTTAATATAAAATTCACTCTCACTGATTAGAACAATATCACTGTGCTGAGATCACCCAGGGTTCAAACTTTAACCCTTAACCAGAAATAAAATTCATTATTTTTAAATACATTAAACCAGAGTAAGTGTAGCTCTTCAAATCTATATACCTATCCAAAATGAACCAGTGCTAATTGACTACCAGTTTTGTAATTCAGTATTTGTAAATAATCGTGATTGCAATTGCGATGATCAATTATTCTAAAGAGATGACTTCCAAAAAAATGTCAAAAAATACAAAAAATAATAGATCACTTGGTGTCCATTAACTCAAATGTTATGAGATGTCATGCAAGATAGAATAGTAATCTGAAACCAAGATTTGTTTTATTAATAAATAAAAACATCATAAGTATCAAACAGTTTGTGTGTCTGGTATACTTATATATATCTAGAAATGATCAATTACTTTGTAGTACTGACTGACAAGTTTTTTGTTTTTTTCTGACTAAAATTGGATGCTTGCTGTGCTTGTGAAATTATTCTAATGTTTCTAATAAACAACAACACTTACCAAGCCATATGAGATGCATTATGGGGAGGGGGGGGGGTGTATTTCTCCCTGAACTACATATCCCAGAGTGGCCTGAAATGCAAATACACGCAGTTCTTATATAATGAAATCAGTCAATAACCTGACCTGCTGATGTTGCTGGAAATAAAGATAAAGTAATACCCTACAGAAGTTCACAAATGTAATGTATTTATTTAACACTTATTTTTAGTGCATGGTTCAACATTGAAAAGATAGAGATTTTTTTTCCTGTTAGCCCTGTAGTTAAGATATTGATGAGCTCATTGCTTCTGAGATCTTTTCTGTCAGTTGACACACCTACTATGCAGTTTTATGTACTAATCAAATCACAATGTAGATATTAAATAATAATTTAAATAAACTTTGATATATATTTTATAATTGAAATTTTAATTAATTGCTCATTACTAAAAGCACATTTACTTACGACTAGCTTAAGCATAAATACCATGTTTAAACATTAGATGAATTTTTCTACATGCTTATAACTCTGTCAGTGTAACATTTGATTATAATAAAAAAAAATGTTTTCTCAAACAGCAAATATGTATATGAAACTTTCAGGGCTTTAATATTTCAAACCCAAAACTATGTGACATTTGCATCACAGCTAAACTTTCAGTAGAAGGTGTTAGGATTTTATAAGAAGTTACACTTGATTCTTTCTATTTTTCATCAACACCAATGCAACTTTTAAACATTTATTAATACCTTTTTTTTTATAATTGTAATTGCATAACTTTACCTCTCTCAATATTGAAACTCACTTGTGTTTAATAAAAACATTTTTAATACAATCACTCATTAATCAGCATTTTTAAGTATCTTAGTTATTATTTGTAAATTTTAAAATGTTACAATTAGTATCTTGCTACTTAAAGAAATATCTAAATCATTAAAATAATTATACATATAATGAACAATAAATGTTTCCCAAACAGAACCCTAAGAGAGACTATTAACAATCTTCTTCCATTCATAAAAAATACTTGTTTATCACTTTTCTATACTTGTCATCACTAAGCCAATTGTATATCCATTATTTAATTCCTTCATCAATTCTGTATGCTCCAAACTTTTTGATATTATTTAATTTGGTGAGGTACTTTATCCATTGCTTTCTGGAGGTTAAAATAAACAACATCAACCATGTGGCTTTTTTGATAAAAGCAAAACTATAACTTACTGGTTTACTATCAGGGATTGAATTTAAAGTGGAATTTTGACTTGTGTTTAGTCCAAAATACAAGTCTTGTGCATGTATTTGTTTTTAAAAGGCTCTTGACATCAAGAAAATTCCTGATAATTTGAAGATTTCCAATGTGATTTAAAAAAATGAAATTTTCATGAGGCCTGATTTAGAATGTCATGTTCAGATTTTCTACATTAATATGATGTCTATCAACATGCTGTAAGGAGTAGAGAAGGGCTACTAGAACGATATTTGATGATATCTCGGGGCTAAGTGTTGGAACATATGCTGTTTTGGATTTTCAACAGTAACATAGATAAAGGATTGGTCAATAAAATTGTAGAGTTTGCTAATGATATTAAGATGTTGTTTGTTGCTGGCTATGAAGATACTGCTGCTTTGTAAAAGGATTTTGATCATTTAATAAGTTAGGCAAATAAATAGCAAATGGCTTTTAATTATAGTAAATGCAGGTAATGCATTTGAGTTATCATAATTGAAATTATATGTGTTATTGTGGTGGAAATTATCTTAATAGTGCTATGGAAGAAAAGGATCTTGTTATTTTGGTTGATCAGTGTCTTGAGCTATCCAAGCAGTATGTGTTGTTGCTAAGGGTTTTAGGTTGCATTTATTGATGTTGTGGAAAGGATGTCATGTGAGGACAGGTTAAAATCTGTAACTGTTTTCTCTTGAAAAAGAAGAGTTAGAGTTATTAAAGGAAATTATAGTATTGATACATAATTTTTTAATACTGAGAATGGTAGGACAAGAATGCTTTTAGGTTCAGTGAATGCTGTAAATTTAAGGGAGTTAAGGGAAACTTAATAAATATTTAAATGATCAGGACTGTATTTGAGTGTTTTTTTTTTTTTTAGGTGATGCATTGATCAACAGGCCCCTTGTCCTTAAATGTTTCGTTACTGTTAAAAGCAGACTTAAATATTTGTTTTGTTTAAAGTTTAGAAGAATTAAAGGTGATTTGGTTCAGCTTTTCAAAACTAGGGCAATTTGTTTGAGTGAAGGAATAAGAAAGTTGGAAATATGATAATGAATATTGGAGATAATATATTTAAGTTTTGGAAACCCAGCTGTACAATGTTTAGCAAAATTATTTTTTGAATTATTGTTAAAAATGTGTGTGTGTGTGGGGTGGGGGGGGTAGTATTGTCTTAATGGTGTTGTGTGTGTTCTCTAGTTTGTAGTTCTTTCTTCTAATTTGTTTTTCTTTATATATATATATATATGTGTTCCAATACAGTACTTCCTTCTTACAAGATTAGCTATTCTCATTCATTGCTGCCTCCTATATGTGAACCTTTTCTTTACGCATGCGACAAGCCTTCTGCTTCCACCTATAACAATCAAGTGATTCCAATGTGTGTGTCATGCAAATCATCATGTGTCACCTCTCCACCAATAGGAGTATAGTACACTCGTGTGACTCCCTCTATGAGCCTCTATCGCACTATCACTTCTCGTTTGGCAGAGCTTGTACTCGGATGTCTTTCTTTTGTCTTGCTTTCATTTTGAGCTGTAGTTATTTCTTGAAGTGGTTATAATTTTTTAACATACCCAGTTTTCTTGAACATTACATTAGTTCTATCTAATTCTAGTTGCCTTTATTTAACACATTTACTGTTGAAGCATGAATTCCGAAGACAATGTCACCACTTTGGGTGTCTCAATTTCGACAGGAGCTTTATCATAGGCTTCAGGTGTGGGTGACCCAATGGAAGATTTGTCTACATTTAGTCACAGGGAGATTGAACATTACATGGGTCAACCTCTATCACTTACTCCTGAACCCTGTTGAACCTGTGCAGGCTGATGAGGACTTTGATCACCTGTTTCCACTTCCTCAATTTGCCGTACCTTCTCATACCTTTCAATTTGGCCTTCCACAGTTTTGTTGGACTTCATTTCTCAGGTATGGTATGTTTTATCCCTTGCTTCTATTTGTCATGACCTACGTCCCTCCTTACTGCATGAACATTCTTCCCAACCCTATTTGGTTTTTCCCCCCATCCCCTGACATTTGGGTCCATGCTAAACAGTTCACCTGTCAGATACATGACAGCATTAGCATGCCTCATCTCCCACAGGCGTCGGATCAGTCTGCTCTTGCTTATCGCTGTGCAGACTGTCCTTATC